ACAGGAAGACAAGAAGAGTGAAAACACAACAAGACAGGAAGACAAGAAGAGTGAAAACACAACAAGACAGGAAGACAAGAAGAGTGAAAACACAACAAGACAGGGCTGAGCTCTGGAGTTCAACAGGTGCGAGATTGACACCAGCAGCACAAGCTAGTGTGTGCTGCCAATCTAACTGTACTGTGTTCACCCAAATAGAACACCCGGTCACCTGTACTTGGGGCAACCTTAAGTCTACATACAGCAATAACGACTGGGTGTTCTATTCGGATAAACACGGTAGATTATACCTGTATTTTGTGGGGCAACCTGAAGCCAACCGGGTGTTCTATTCGGATAAACACGGTAGATTATACCCTGTATTTGGGGCACAACCTTAAGTCTACATATACAGCAATAACGACCGGGTGTTGTATTCGGACAAAGACGGTAGTCCTCAATGCAGTGATGGGTGAAGAAGTGCATACAAAAGCATTGGTCGAGAATCTCGAGATCGCTTACCCAATCGCTCAGACCAGCTGCAGCCAAACCAATTAGCGCGGCAGAAAAGTTGCCCTGCATCACCCACCTGAAAACTTAGGTCAGATAGGGGAACACAAAAAAGGCAGAGATTTTTTTTTTTTTTTTTTTTTTTTTTTTTTTTTTTTTCAGAGAATCTCACCTGATGACAACCTCAAACTTTCAGATGAAAAAACTAACAATTGAATCGGCTGCCATTCGGAGCATTGTCAATACATGCGAGAACAACACCACAGTCAGCAAGAATAGGAATAGGAGGAGGAGAACAGGCATGAGGAGAAGACGGAGATAGCAATGTTACAAGCCAGAGGGTAGTGAGAGGGAGAAGGAGAGAGAAGGAGAGAGGAGGAGAGAGAGAGAGAGAGAGAGAGAGAAAGAGAAGCTGCCACACTAGGATGTGTCCCTTCGTTTGCCTCAAAGGACACCCAGACTCAACTAACCAGTCCCACCATCACTTAAATGCAAGCAGTACCATCGTCACCTGAATACAACGCCCGGTCATTATCACTGTACGTAGACTGAAAGTTGCCCCGAATACCGCTATAATGACCAGGTGTTCTATTGGAGTGAAGACAGTAGAGAGACTCGGACAGACAGATGACACACACAGAAGCCGCAAAACTATGAAACAGGCGTGTTCCTTCGTCTCAAAGGACACAAATCGACTAACGCCAACTGGTCCGACGATCACTTCAACTAAAAGCCAGAGAGACGAGCACAAGGCAGAGAGTACAAGAGGGAGCACACAAACGCTACCATAAGTAGTTGGACGACATAAGCACACCTGTGCACATCTCATGTAAAACAAGGGAGAGACTGACACTGAAAATCGGCATCATCAAGCAGAAGATAGATCACGGTCCTCCCTCCTTCCTCCCTCCTCCCCCACAAACAAAGAAACCTTGAGAGCCTCTGCATGCACACATGCTTGGACATTCGACATGGGGGATACAAAGGATCATCAACACAAAAGCAAAGGAAAAAAGAAAGCCCAGGAGAGGGTGAATTTCTTACGTACATTGCAATTAACGGTCCAGAAAGGAGGCGTGCCATGGACAAGGCATTTGGCCAATTCAGAACCTCTTCGCGGGTCCAGCCCGCTTGCACAAGCCTGTCTGCGACGGACATCTGCTTCCCAGCATCCTGGACCTTTACACCACCACTCACGAGAGTATCATCCTTGTCCTGACTGCGACAGGTTCCATCTCTTAAGTCCATTCCGCCATCCCCAGCATCTTCCCTCGCGCCCTTCCCATCAACAACACGAGGATCTGTCCGATCCCCAATACTCATCGACTGACGAGCTGCTGCAAATGCATTCATCCTCAGCGTATCGTCCGTAGTGTGCCCACTACTGAGATCCCGATTCACTAGACCTCCCTGATCAGATTTGCTCGACAATGGCTCACTATTATAACGGCCATGGGCGGCGCCACGAGTTTGCCTGCCCACGCAATACTCGAACTGTGATAGTTGTTGCACGCTTTTGATATCCTTCCCGGCAGCGTACATGACAACACTCTCCTGCCTCCTGCCTGAAATGCCAACCCCTCCACAGTTGCGGCTGTCTTTGGTTCCAGAGCAAAGGTGGAAGAAGCTCCTGACATGCTGATATTGTCCATTCCCTCTGCTCGTGGACAAACAGGTGGTCCACATGCCACCTATTCCAGTTCCCCCAATCGATGCACCCCTCTGCTGAAGCGGTAGCACCACTGAGTTTCTACAAAAGACGTGAGAAGATGAAGGACCTGGCACATAAAGCCGCTTCCTGGCAGAGCTTTCAGACCGCACTCTGCTGACGAGTGCTGAAGGGGATGAATGAGGTGAAACAGTATCCGCAGACGCTGACGATGAGAAAGACAAGAGTAGAGCATGCCCAAAGTTGGGTTGGTGGCAGATCACAGCGCTCAAATCGAAAGGAAGGACAGACATCCTTTTGCGACAATATCTGGCTCGCATTCTCAACCTGACATGCACCTCAGACGCCATCTTTGCGGAGCCCAATCCATGCCGAGAAGACTCCAGCTCATTGGAAGAACATGAATGGAGACGAAGACCATGACAAGGCGAGGAAACGTGCCTAATGAAGGCCAGCATGCTGCAAGCAAAAGGGCTACACATTGGAGGTATACCCCGTCCCCATTCATTGAGACAAGCAGTTGTTGCCTTATTATTTGTGGAATGGACGTGAGAGTTACTCGTACAATGGCGAGATTGGAAGACATGCTCGGAGACCGATACCAAAGACGGATTAACCACGGCAAACGGGTGAGAAGGTGTGGTTGTGCCACCATCGCTTCTGTAAAGGCCGCCATGTCGGCAGCAAACGCCACGTACCGTCTGTGCTTCCCTCGATAGCGAAATACGGTTAACTGGCAGAGACTGCAGCGCATCACTACAGTATGCCTTGTCATTCGCAGAATATGCCAAGGTTCCATTACACAGTGCAGAACCCTCCAGGCCCAACTTTTGGTGGTTTTCGCAGCCGTCTTTCGTTTGACATTGATCCCTACCTCTTCCGCAAGTCTGAGGCTTATGATCCGACGGAGATCTATTCCTATTTAGTCGTCCTGCACAGTCCTCCTCACCAAAGAAGTTCATGAAGCCAAAACCCGACAAACCGCGGCTACTCCGGCTTCCGCCATGGCCAACGGCATCTATGTATGACCTTTTCTCTGCTGTTGAAGCACAGCAAACACTCCTCGGCGCTCGGAGACCATCTCCACTCCCTGCAAAGAGCGACCATGAATGAACGGCAGCTGTTGCACCGGGCGACAAACAAAATGCCCACCGAGAGTGGTTATCGCAAATGGGAACCGACCATTGTTCTCTCCGTGACCATTTCCCAAAGGTGGTCGTGCACACTCCATTGCCGCTTCTCTTCACGGAGAGGGTGTCCGCATTCCTCGCAATCTGGTGCCAGTGGGACCCCTTATAATGGGGTATGTTCGGACAAATGTTATTACGAATCCAGCTACCGACAGCAGATCGCCGTTGAAAACCTGATCTCTGATCATGTATAAGAGAGGACGCATGGTTCGAGAGCCCTTTAAACAAGCCGCCAAGCCGGAAATACTCAGCCGAAAGCCATACGGCTCTCGACCATAGCCTCATTTCTTCCATTCGCATAGCTGCTGCACCCAACACTAAAGCACATGACTACACCCAGCATCCAAACCAACACCTTCCATGCAGTTTGGTTTTAGCATCAACGACTGTAAAACCAGCAATTTCCATTGAATCGCGTTACGATCCGAGCGCCAGCAACAAGATGGCGGTCACGGTCACAACCGCAGCTCGCATTCCGGGAAAAAAAAAAAAAAAAAAAAAAAAAAAAAAAAAAAACACCACCATCACAAATTCATCTTACCATCACGTACACATCCTCGAAGGAACACCATCATACCCAACCACCACTTGGCGGGGGTGCGAACCATTTGAACCAGGGTTAGCTTTACACAAGTCTATTCTCAACCAACGTCGTTAACTTCTTCATGTCGGCGCATTTGCACACTCCTTCACCAAAACCTGCGAATCACTAACATCCTGTTTTCCCCCACCAAAAAAAAAAAAAAAAAAAAAAAAAAAACTTAGCCAACGATCTTCATGGCCGTGCGGTCAGTCTCATCACTCCAAATTTCAAAACGTGGTGTCAAAAGCGAATGTCGAACAATCAGCACGTGGACTTACGTGCAGAGCTCCTCCTCCAGGTATCATCATGACTTGTCAAAAACACACTAACACCTTGACAGCCCTGCCAATTCACACAACAGAAGAAGGTTCACACAATTTTGCACGGAGTCATCTACCACAACTGGAAATGATTTGTCCTTCCGGACATCTGTTAAAATTGGAACGATACAGAGAATGAAGCAACGATGACACACATAAATCGAGAAATGATCCAAATTAATAAAATAAAATAAAAAAAAAAAAAAAAAAAAAAAAACTGGAATCATTTCAACCATAGGTAATCACACCAATGACCACTCCCTTCTGTACTTCGCGTGCTCGATTGTTTGACTATGGGATAAGTGTCCGACAGGGGACAACTTGGTCTCCACAGCTTGAAAAAAAGTGTGAATTGTTCTCTGTCAAAAGAACAATGCGGATTCGTTGCCACTGACTGCACCTGATCGTGGTCGGAACCTGCGCTGCATACAGATAAGGTGACCCCATGTTCTTGTCTTTTCGTTTTCTTTTTTTTTAAGAAAAACTAAAAGACATATTATTCTCTCAGTTATACCTCATGCAACATACCTACAGCGCACAGCAACCGATATCTAAGCACTGGAGGAAAGGGTAACCAAAACCCACCAGGTACAACGGCATCCAAAATCTACTAGGCCCAGGAGCTGACCCCCAGGTGAGGATTGGGCAGGGGCGAAGGCCTCCAAGAGAACCCAGGACCCTTTACCAAGGCCGACCAAAGAGAAGGGGGGCGGGCGGGGGGCCGAGCCAACTCTCTCAGCTGATGAACACCAAGCACACTGCAGGCAGCCGTGGGGGATTGAACACACACGACCTCCTGAATGTCGCTTGCATGCGAAACCAACTGAGCTAGGCTGGCGGCCCTGATGAGCCCATGTTCTATCACAATGAAAACGCCGCGCACTGGAGCTAAGTTGACTCAGCACACATGATTTTCACCGCACCGGATTTCTGAAGCGATCAAGAGTCCGAATGCCCCACTTACGTCAGAGGACTTCGCGTAATACACCTAGTCGTGCGACTACCATCAGACTTCCATACCACATCTTACACCAATAGCGCGACTACTTTTCTTTCCGCAGGCACATCGCGCACTCTCATTCATCCTGACTGTGTCTAACTGGGAAGGATAGCTTGGTAGATTTCACTCTCATCACGACTGTATAGATCCACAAATGATAGCTTCATGCATTCATCTCCAGGATGCATTCTGTTCCACGGAAGACGGCGGTAGTTCCACCATCTTCCATTGAAATCCTCTGTGCACTTGGAAAAAAAATTATAGACCACGTTCTTCCCTCGAGCACAACACACTCATCGTGATCGTATCTGACCAGGAACGACGGTTCGATGAATTCATTTATCACTGCATGCTCGGGATTACCCGGGAAGACAATAGTAACTGCAACATCTGCCAAAACCATAGTTGTGGCTCACCAGTGCCCAGTGCAGTGCAGGGCGGTGCACTGCGCTGTGTGCTGGAATGACAGTGCGCGCAATGTGCTCCGTGCGCTGCGTGCAGTGCGCAGTGCGGTCCGCTGTGCACGATGCACACGCTGAGGGAGGTGCGCCCTGTGCGTGATATAAATTAAAAAAAAAAGAAAAAAAAAAAACAGACCCCCGAGAGAGAGAGAGAGAGAGAGAGAGAGAGAGAGAGAAAGAGAGAGAGA